GTTAAATGAGTTATTGAGGTTGAGATTAGGGGCGAAATTTCGATTCGGTTATTGTCGTCCCACTGATCGATTGCATTATTCATTATCATTCATATCAGCGCTCGTCAAAGCGGAACGCAGACGTCGGCGTGCATCCGCGATCCGACGTTCGTGTAAAATTCGCAAACAGCGTAACGGAGAAGTCGGCTGAATTTGTTCGCGTCGCGCGCGCGGCTCGTCATCCGCGCGGTTCCGCCGGCGAAGCGGTTTTTCGACAAATCAAATCAAACCACCATGAATCACTCCGTTCGCGTTGTTTCGCGTATGCCGCCGCAGTATGTTTCGCAGATATGTCCGTGTATCTTCCGAATACAAAGCCATCCGCGGGAAAGTAAACGTGCGAATGACTGCCACAAAGCATCACGATGAACCGCGAGAGCAGTGCGCTCTCGTGGCTTCACTCTGGCGGGCTAGACATTTCTGCGGATTACTATGAATCACGAGCAACGGATAAATAGCGAATCGCGAACGGAAACAGATCAAAGAGAAAAGGTCTTTTAGCCATTTTATTAGCATTATTTCGTTATTGTGACTTAAGCGATTTTATTTCAAGCGATTTCAAGTAAATAAAAATCACAAGAGTAAAAGTCTTTTTCTGACGGATCGGTCAATCCGGAATTTTCCCTTAGAGCACTATTCATAGTCCAATCTGATATTTAAAATTATCTTAAGGGAATACTGGAAATTTATCGACAGAATACTGACATTTTTCTGCAAAGTTTACGTGGTATTGCTTGTACAGAATTGCAAATGCTTTTACGCGATGAAAGTACGTGCAAAAATAAATAAATAGGAGCATTGCTCAATATGTGACAAAAACGAAAAAGAATTTTAATGTAAAATCTCAAATCAGTTGGCGTAATATTTGCTTGATCCAAAAGTTCGGCAGCTTGTATGTGGAAATGAATGTTCCACTGAATGTTGCATGCATTCGCCCGTGAGTGTGATAAAATCTGTGTGTCCGTCGCAGAATGAAGAATATGCAAAATTTGATGTTATTCGGTTTTTTCGTTTCCTCATAGAGAGAGAGAGAGAGAGAGAGAGAGAGAGAGAGAGAGAGAGAGAGAGAGAGAGAGAGAGAGAGAGAGAGAGAGAT